ATATATTTTTAAATTAATTTAATAAATTTAATCTTCCAATCAAGTAACGAAAGTTGTCATCATTTAATTAGGTTTTATTTTAATTTATTTAATATATTTAAACTCCAATCAAGGATGAAATATGTCCCTTGAGTTGAAAAAGTTTTAATGCTGTTGCAAGAAATCAAACCTACGCTTAAATGAGGGGTTTTAGATAACTTTAATATCACGTTCAAACCCACAATTGGTAAAGTTTACAACATATTTTAATAAAATTTATGAGAAAAAAAACAAAATAAAATGTTATAAACTAAAAAATATATTTTTATTATAATTTTAAATAAGAATAAAATATAAATATTTAAGTTAAAAAAGAATAAAATTTATTTTTAGATACTTTAAATTTAAGATAAAAATAAAATATTTAAAAAATTAAGACAAGAATAGCGTAGTTATCCCAGTGGTTAAAAAAATGATCGTTATCTTTAGATGTTCCAGGTTCAAACATCATAAATTGTAAGAGTATTTGAACGTTCATTGTCAAATGATTGAGAGTATTTAGAATAAATACTACCATTTGTAATCACCATAGTTTAATAAAAAAAAGTGTGCCCGCTCTTCCTTTTTTTGGGTTTGTATCGCTTTCTATATATCATATCAATTTTTTCTTCTTTATTTTTATTTAGCCGACAGTAACATCAGATTATGACACATGCCACTTAACGGATGAAATAATGCTGTTGACAGCCCGAACACTTAAATGGATAAGATTTCTAACATTAAATACTTAGATGAGTCAAAAAATAGTTTATATACCAATTTAAAAAAACGGTATAGTTTGAACATTGATTTTAATATTAAGCCAAATATAAATAGTAAATGTTGTAATATGTTACCAAAAAAGGTTTTGGCTGGGCGGTTTAAATGTTTGCAGAGATTTACTTCTCCTTGTGTCAGGTTTGAATACCGCTTAGCGTACATTTTCTCTTCAATTGATTTTCTCTTTATTAATACGGTGGTGTCACTTATTGGAAGGAAAAATAAACTGAATTAAATAAATAAAAAGTAAGAAAATATCCCCTAGTAAGATATAATAACACATCATTATTTAATTAGAGATTAAATTTATTTTAATTAAATTAAATTATGATTAAATTAATAGAATGTAAAAGTATTAAATACTAAATATGTAATTATACTAAATTTTTTAACTGCCATTAGAGGTGGGTATACGGGCTACCCGCCCGTTTAGCCCGCGGATTTTGACGACGCAGGCTTAAACGGAGCGGGCTAAAAAACTCGCATTCATAAACGGTTTTGAATTTTAAGGCCCGCGGCCCGTCCATTTAACCAGCGGGCTAAACGGGCTTACCCGCTGCCCGTTTAATAAAAATAATTTTAAATATTTTAAATGCAATAAAAAATAATATTTTAACTTAATACACCTTTAAAAATGATCGAGCAACTTGAAAAGGAAGGTAGCACCGTCAAAATAATAAATAATATTTATTTTTTATTTTAAATAGCCGGAAATGATTATAAAATAATATTTTTTTAAATTTTTTTAATCATTAATACATATATATATATATAATGATATAATTACTTAAACTCAAATTAAAAAAAATAATATTCACTTATATCACCAAATTGAAAAACAAATAAAACAATAACCACATTACACTTTTATAAAACACGATTATTTAAGGCTATAATATGAAGACACAGAAGTGTCTGAATTCTGAAAGCATAAATTTAAACATAAAAATTCAACAAAGGCAAACATTATACAAATCTAACAAGAAAGTTGTCAAGTGGTCTTAATAATTGTATTTTATGGATATTTTAGAGAAAGACTAAAATATAATATGAAAATATATAAAATACTTACAGTATAAGAGTAAATTTGAAAGATACAGTTATACTAAAATTGATAAAATATAAGTCATTAATTTATTAAAATATATTTATTTTGTAAAAGTCTTTAAAAGTTGAAAAGTATGTTTTTAATTTTTTCTTTTACTTTTCTTTCTTATTTTTAATCCAAATATTACGTGTCATATGATATATTATTAGAATATCACGTGACTTTTTATAATTAAAGAACAAAATGGATAACATACTTCATGAAAAAAATAAAGGTTAAAATTAAATAAAATAAATCTTTAAATACCAAAATGATAATGGTGTATATTTAAATGAAAAAAATATCAAGCATCGGTAAAATTATGACTAATTTCCTAATAAATTTAAGAACTACAATAGTTATAAGTAACATCATATTTATAGGTAATTTATTTTTTTTTCTATAAAATTCTTTAAGTTTATTTTATCTAAAATTTTATGAATTTTAAATTAAGCGGGCTTAAGCGAGTTTTGCGGGTAGCCCGTGGTTATACCCATTAAACCTGCGGGTTTAACGGTTCGGGCTAAAAAGCCCGCAATTTAAACGGTCTTCAATTTTTGAGGCCCGAAGCCCGCACGGATCGCGGGTTAAACGGGTAGCCCGCAGGCCTTAGCCCGTATACCCAACTCTAACTGCCATGCCACTTCCTCCGTTAAAAGTTAACGGTTAATAGCTTGATTGAAATATCTAAATAGTTGGGTGGTATGAATGATAAAATCAAAACATCAGTGATCTAAATAAAAGGGACAATATTTAAGTGGTTGAGTAAAGCATGAATAATGAGGATTGACATTGATCTATGAAAATACTTCATTATTTATGGGGTATTCTTGTTCAAAATGGTAAGAATTGTATAATACATAAGAATTTGAAAGTAATGACATTCCCATTATTTTAATAAAAAATTGTTATTATTGGTAATAAGTTATTACATTATAATGATCTTTTTCGCTTTCCTACGGTGGGCAATTCATAATTCTGACTGTCGGAGGCCTCCCACGGAAGTTGCTCTCAACCTGACATTGGGGACAACCTATTATCCTACCTCTCCTACCCCATTACATATGAAAATAGGGTCAACTAATTTTTTTCGCTTTTCCACGAACCAAACTATCCCTCATTGAAAAAGACATTATCAACCTCTTTTTAAGGGTAAACTACTCATGTGATTATTTAATTATTATTTATTTTCATTTTGATCATCGATATTTCAATTTTGTTAACCAAATCACTTAAATGTTTTTAAATACTTCAATCAAATCACTTGTCACTAAAGTTTAACGAAAGAGAGGATGTAACTGTTAAAAATATTGGTATAATTATACATTTAGTCCTTAATATTTATATATTATACTAATTTGAGCTAAATTAAAGAATTATAGGGGGAAAAGGACTAAATTACAACAATTTGCCACCTAGCTTATTCAACAAAAAAAGAAAAAAAATGGTGAAATCATGGAACTAATCCTCCATATTTTCTACTCCTTACTAATCGTTTTATGGTCTAATCAATCCCTTAGCCATTAATCTTTTTCCTTATTTTCATTTGAGCACCTAAATTTCTCTTTTCTTACTAAAGGCATCATTTCTCCATTTATCGTGTTTTAGTCCTTAAACCATTTCCAAAGCAAATTGTACTTTAACCATATTTATACAACGTGAATAATCTCAATTTCAAAAAATCAAAATACTATGAGGAAAAAATTCGATCATTAGAAATAAAAAAAATTAAGCTAATTTTTTGGGTGTTACAACTCTCCATTCCTTAAAAGATCGTTCTCGAATTTATACCGGAAATGCATATTGATCATGCATCGGATCTTTAAGATTCCACGTGGCCTCCTTGAACTTGTGATTTCTCTGTAAGAGATTCACTAGCGGAATCTTTTTGTTCCGAGTTATTTGACTTCACCAGAGGTGATGCAAAAGATTAACACCTACAGGAGAATGGCCAAATTGACCATAAAGCTTGGTGAGATTGAGTTTCTTTTGAGAAGACGGTGGTATTGACAAAATTTATAGTTGAATATTGTTTTACATAAGGCTCGATATTGGAGGATGAAGAAATGGGCAGCAGGCAGAGCCGTGAGCTAACAAACAAGCAATGGCCATGGATGCTATTTGTAGATGGTTCATTAGGAAGCAAGATGATAAAATTGTCATTAACATTATACTTTTCTTTTCTCTTAGTCAATGATTGTTATTTTTTTTAACGGTGGTGCTAACATGAATTTTTTTTTCTGTCATTTTTTCTCCCATCGTCAGTAATCCACATTATTTTTCTTCAGTTTTATTCGAACTCACATGTTGAGGAAAGGATTCAAACCTAAAACTTCTTGCATAAAGAGTCCAAATGCGTATATACTAATTTAAATTAAAAAATATATTTATATTCTATCAAAATTAGTATTTAAGTTAAATTGTGTCATCGTCTCAAAATTATGTTAGTGATGATTTTGTCAAAACAATAATTCACTGATCAAAATAGAAAGAAATTATTTTAGTGACATGATGTAATTTATCCTAAAAGATTTACTAGAGGTTTAATTATGTTGGACGAGTAAAATGAAGAGGACAAAACAACTTCACCTTTCCCAGGGAAAAATGACGAGGAAAGGGAGAGAAAGTAAAATGGCTTAATTGTTTTTAGGTGCTTCTGATTTTATTAATTTCCTATTTGCTCCTTTACATCTTAGAAAAAATAAATTAAAAAAATAAGATGAAGTATGTATTTCGTAACTCAACTATTATTTTGGTTCATAAACTTTTATTCATTTTTAAAATTATGTCTAACGTTAGGTTTTGGTTTCATTTTCGTCACCTAATATAAAAAAATTATCAGCGATATTGATGTGTCACTATAAGATAATAATACATCGTAGTGTAAAAACAAAAAATTTACATGTAAACAATTTTGTTTATTTTTTAATAAATAATGACCAAATCAAAACCAAAATATAACATTAGACATAATATTTAAAAATACCAATAGTTAAGTGACCAAAATGGAACTGAAGTAATAGTTGGATGGCTAAACACGTAATATATTCTAAAAATAATCCGAAGAAAGAAGAAGTGTATTTCTTAAAGAAATTACAGTCATCGGTGAAACAGAGAAACAAACAGCAATGGATTCAGTGAATTCATTGAAGGGGTATGGTAAAGTCGACGAGGTGGAACAACAGGCTTTCAACCGAAAGACACGCAGGCGTCTACTCACCCTCATCATCTTCATTCTCCTGCTATCAGCAATCATCACCGGCGCCGTCGTCGGGATTTTTATACACAAGAAGAGAAGCACCTCGTCTCCCAACCCCGTACCCACACCCGAGTTGACTCCAGCCGCTTCACTCAAAACGGTTTGTAGTGAGACTCAGTACCCGTCTTCTTGTTTCTCCAGCATTTCTCCCATTGCATCCTCAAACACTACCGACCCAGAACTCCTTTTCAAACTGTCTCTGAAAGTAGCCATCGACGAGCCCTCCAGGTTGTCTAAGTATCCGACCGAGCTAAAACCTGAAACCAATGATACCCAATTGAAATCCGCTTTACAAGTGTGCGAAACTATGTTCGAGGACGCCTTGGATCGATTGAATGATTCGGCTGCGTCGCTTGAAGTTGGAGATAGGGAGAAGCTGTTGTCGGATTCCAAGATCGGTGATTTGAAGACCTGGCTAAGTACTTCCATAACCGACCAAGAAACATGTTTAGACGCCCTGGAGGAGTTAAACACCACAACGCACTTCAACGCCACACTTGTTGAAGAAATGAAGGCTGCCATGCAAAACTCAAGTGAATACACCAGCAATAGCTTGGCTATTGTGGCTAGAATCTTGGGTTTATTGACTAATTTAAACATTCCGATTCATAGGAGATTGCTTGTGTTTCAGGAATCAAGTTCAGGTTCAGAGTTCCCGGCTTGGGTCAGTCCCACAGAAAGGAGGTTATTACAGGATTCCAAGCCTGCCCCTAATGTTACTGTGGCTCAAGATGGGTCCGGGGATGTCTTGACGATTAAAGATTCGGTGAAATTGGTAGGAAAGAAGATTGAACCGAGATTCGTTATATATGTGAAGGAAGGCAAGTATGTTGAGAGTTTGATTCTGGATAAACACATGTGGAATGTGATGATTTATGGTGATGGCAAAACGAAGACTCTAATTTCCGGCAGTCTTCATTCATTAGAAGGTGATCTGAACCGATAGTATGATGTTCATAATTGTTGCTCAATTTTATGCTTTTATTGTTGGAAGTTTGTAGAAAATTGTTAGTAAAACTGATATCTAAGCCCGAAAAAGGTGATGTCTATATGTGGTGAAAGGTCTTATGTTTGTTTATTAATTCTGGGCAAGTATGAGACAATATCAGTTCAGAGATAACTCTCAACCATTTGACAGGAATAAGAATAATTTCTTTACTTACCACCGATATCACTTGGTTTGTGCTGGTTTAAAAGTTTGAGCCTGATAATAGAGATATCAAAATGGACGGAGCTTAAAGGAGTAATTGAATAGAAAAGGCCTAAAGACAGAATAAATTCATTCCCTGCTGCGTAACATGTTGGCTGGTTTTATGCACTTTCTATATAGTTGGCATTTCAATTTTGGAACCAATTCATAGTTTCATGCATTTGTTTTTGTCAATTACTGATAATTATTTTGTGTGAATCATCAGCTGTGGCAGGAAAAGGATTCATTGCGAAGGGCATCAGGTTCATTAATTCAGCTGGTGCATTGAAGCACCAAGCAGTGGCTCTGCGGTCTGGTTCCGATCGCTCAGTTTTCTACCGCTGTGCATTTGATGCGTACCAGGACACTCTCTATGTCCATTCCAATCGTCAGTTTTACCGGGAGTGCGACATTATGGGCACAATTGACTTCATTTTCGGGAATGCAGCAGTTGTTTTCCAAAGTTGCAATATCTTGCCGAGGCAACCTTTGGCTAACCAGTTCAACACCACCACAGCACAAGGCAAAAAAGACCCTAACCAAAACACTGGAATTTCTATCCAGAAATGCTCATTAACTGCATTTGGCAACCTTACTGCTAGAACCTACCTTGGAAGGCCATGGAAAGAGTTCTCCACTACTGTTATCATGCAGTCGAAGATTGGGACGTTCTTGGACCCAGTGGGCTGGAAAGAATGGGTTGCCAATATCGACCCACCCGGCTCCATTTTCTATGCAGAATATCAAAACAGTGGACCTGGATCAAGCGTGAAAAAATGGGTGAAATGGGCTGGTTACAGGCCCACTCTCTCGGACGTTGATGCTGGGAAGTTCACGGTGGAAAATTTTATACAAGGCCAGGATTGGCTTCCTGATGCCACTGTCTCCTATGAACCTGCCTTATAATATGACAGCTGATCCAAGCTAGGAGATAATGCTTTTTTTTAACATTAAAATTTGTTTGTAGAACCATATATATAACTTCAATGTATAGAAGCTCGATGCTGGAATCTGCAGATATTTGTTTTATTCGATATCAAAGGTGCAATATCAGATTACAGCTGTGCATATGAGATTTGGACGCCATACCAGAAATTCTAAAGGATGAATCAAGTAAAAGATCTTAAAGAGAGTTTGAGGCTTACTTTACAAGACAAAATGATAAGTTGACCTGAAAATCAGTTTGTATTATATTGTCACGCGATGTTTTTAGCAGATGAAAATTCCAAGTTGGAGATGAACCCTACGGTTTGGCCAGAGAGAAGGTGAATTAGGGAGAGATTGATACTAAGGGCTCAAATTCAAGGTTAATTTGTGGGAGATTAGATGGAAGGACCTAGGGTTCGTTGTAAACAAGACGAGTTTGAGTATTACTAAATGCGTTAGCTTAAAATTTTTAAACCCGACTCAAAATCAAAAATTAGAGTTCATGTTTAAAATCTTTAATGTTTTTATAAATATTTGATATTTTTATTTTTATAATTTATCATTTTATGATATAAATTTTATTTAATTTTTATAATATTTTTAATTTTAATTTTTATAATATTTTAAATTCTTCATTTATTTATTCAAAACTTAAATAAATAATCCAAGTTTCTATAACAGGATCAATTATATCTTTAAATCTGCAAAATAAAAAATCAATTATACTATAATGTTAAGTCCTCGCCATAACCGAGAACAGTTTCGATTTTGAATTACCTCAGCAATGCCATCGCCAACCTTGTACGTTGCTTGAAGAAAACGCACCCACAGCTGATTCGTATTTGCCAAAACATCGAAAGCAACCTTCATTAATAACTCATCATTTTGTTTAAACATTTTTTTTAATCCCAAACCTCCCTGACTACGGTTTGCAAACATCCGACCACCGAACGAGATGCACCCCTTTATCATCCGGCGAAATACCTCAAACAAAACTCCTAATAACTTTTTCATTCTCCAATCAGGTTTTTTTTTTCAACAAGGCTGTTTGCATCGTATAGATTGGGATTGAAGCCAAAACCGACTTGGCCAAGATAATACGACCTGCAAATGATAACGTACGAGCCTTACATCCATTAAGGCGATCACGCACGGATTGAATCAAGTATTGATAAGTAGCAGTAGAAACACGATTGTGCATGTGCAGCAAATGTATCCCAAGTCCCAACTTTGAAACCAAGAGCAGAATTAATCAATCTTCTTAAGCTCCGCGACACATTCTTGGAATAGAAGATGGTAGTTTTTGGGAGACTCACTTTCTGGCCAGAAGCTTCACAAAATTTCCTCAGAACTGAACTAATAACTTCAACCTGCTCCATCGATGCTTAAGCAAAAAAACCATATCATCCACGAAAAACAAGTCTGATATTCCAGGAGTAGAAGCCAAAGTCCGAAAAGGTTTCAAAGAGACCTTCAAGCACTCCACCTTTATTGCTTGGGCGAGCCGTTCCATGCATAACACGGACAAATATGGGGAGAGAGAGTCACCTTGACGTATTTCGCTCGAAGGATGAAAAGAATCAGTCAATGAGCCATTCCATAAAATTTGAGTGCAGACAGACGAAACACATCTCATGATTCAATTGCTGAACCTGCACAAGAATACCAATATCAATCAGTGTGGCCTCGATAAAGTTCCATTCTAAACGATTGTAAGACTTTTCTAAGTCAATCTTTATCGCCATCCACCCTTTTCTTCCTTTCTTCTTGTTCATCGAGTGTATGACATCCTGCGCAATAATAATATTATCGGTAATCGACCTTCCCGGAACAAAGCTTGTCTGATTCTCAACAACTAACATAGACAACACCGGTTTCGAACGGTTAACAATTATCTTAGTAATTACCTTGTAGATAACATTACAAAGGCTAATGGGGCGGAATTGGCTAATTCCTTCTGGTTTCTCCACTTTTGGAAGCAAAACCAAAATCGTCTAGTTTAAATCCTCATGCCATCTCCCAGTGTTCATAACTTCATCAACAATACGACAATCCGAACTCCCTACCACATCCCAATGTCGTTGGTAAAAAGCGGCATGTATACCATCCAATCCGGGTGCCTTTAGATGAGCCAATTTGAAAATAGCATTTTTGATTTCTTCATTAGTAACAGGTAGATCCATGCTATCCAATAAATGATGAGGGACCACAGGAAACAACCATTGATGAAGGATCGACACAAGAACTTGAAAACAAGTTCTGATAAAACTGCACTGCCATTTGTTGTAAAGCATCCTGATCAAGACACCACTCCCCCGTCTCATCTTTCAAGGACAGAATCTTGTTCTTCCGAAGCCTTGCCATGGTGGAAGCATGGAAAAATTTTTGTGTCACGATCTCCAAAGATATCCCGTTGGGCTCCCGCCTTTTGCTTCCAAAAAATCTTCTCCTGTTCGAAAACAATTTTCAGCTCATAGCGCAACGAACCTTCCAACTCAACAAGGAAATCCGAATGAGAAGATTGAAGAAACTTATCAATACCTCTTAAGTCGAGCCAACAACCTCTTCTTTTTCCTACCAATATGACAAAAAACCTCTGAATTCCAATTCTGAACTTCAGTCGTAAAAGCAGCCAAATTAGATCCCAAGACTTCATTGTCACACCAAACTGACTGCAGAACTCCTTGAACTGCGGGTGATCATTCCAAGCATCAATATAACGGAAGGGCCGGATAGCTATCATATCCAAATCAAGAGTAAACTGTAACATAATAGGGCGGTGGTCCGAACCCAAACGATCTAAATGGCGCACAAACTATTAGGAAACAAAGTCATCCACTTCGCATTGGCATGAACACAATCTAGACGTTGATAGAGATTACCCCGGCTCCAAGTTAATGGAGGACCCTGGAAACCCAAATCAATCAAACCGGAGTACCGGACCCCCCCAAAAAATCAACGAACCTCTTGTTAACACCAGACTGCACAGATGAACCACCTGTTCTCTCCTCAGAACTTGCAATGGCATTAAGGTCACCACCAACCACCCAGGGATCATCATCACTAGGATCCAACTGGCGAAGTTGACTCCAAAGATTCCACCAGTACATATCATTTGGACTAGCATACACCGTAGTAAAATAAATCCATGAAGCTCTCCCATCTTCCAAAAATCGCCCATGAATAAATTGGTTCGAGATATGAGTAATTTCCACAGAAATCGAAGGATCCCACAACAACCAGATACCCCCACTAAAACCATGAGCCTCAATCCGAAAAGAGTTAATAAACCCCAAACTCGCAATCACTTTCAAGGCTCACCAACTGCTTATAAGCGGTTCAAACAACGCAACCATCATTGGATGAAACTCTCGAAAGAAGTTTTTGCAATAGCGTCTGAAAGTGGGACTTGCCCCCCTGACAATTCCAAAAAAAGATACCTGTCATGTTAAAAACCAACCAACAGAGGAAGACAGACCTATGCAGAAGGAACTCTTCCTGCATCCCGATTTCCATTGTCCACCGCGACATCCATATGATCGTCAAGAACACAAGTATCATTTGTAGGAATACAGCTACTAGAACTATCTCCCCTAGAACCCTTGTTCAATCCAGAGCAGTCCGAGCCAACCTTATTCCCAACTTGAATCAACTGATTAGAAACCGAATGAACCCATTCAGAAAGAGCAGTTCTCTTAGATTTACTCACACTCAACTGTTTGGTACATGTTCCACCACGGCGCGAATTCTCTTTGAAAACTTTATTACCCGACACTTGAGGTTTCTTTAGCTTGGCAGCTATCTGACTCTTAGTCCCGTGTCCTTTTTCAACAATTGAAATCACCTTGTGAGCACCCGAAGGTCGTCCAGAATTAGCATCAGTGACCTTGACCGATTGACCCTCCACCATCGGAACCACTGTAACTCCTTTGACCCGCACGGCTTGGGTTTTCGACTTGCGGTTCGGATTTGATTCAAGAAAGGCCGCATTAAGCTCTCTAGGCTGAACTGCCTTCAATTGCTCTTGATCACCCTCTTTCCTACCATCTTCCACCAAAGAAACTGTTGCAGTCTCTTTCGGCTCATTCGTGGTATTAGCTTGTGATCTCGGTTCATCAACCTCAACGACTTCCTGTAAAACATCAAAACAGGATGACACTACCTTGCTAGTTTCCCCGACTTTTTTCTCTTTAATCAGAATGTCATAGTTTTGCTTTCTGTGACGGCGCTCCACCACCATCCAAGGGCCGTAAAATTCTGATTCCGGTAACGCACTAGGAGCTGGAGGGTCAGCTTCCACGTCCTTTTGACTAACAGTCGAAGCCTCCATATACACAGCGGAATTCACCAAACACCCTTCTTTATAGTGACCATATCTTCCACATTCAAAACAGATAAGATTCAACTTCTCATACTCCAGCTTCTGAATGAAACCGTCATTACCTATACAAGGAAGAAGAGGTTTGTTCAAATCAACTAAAAGTGCAAGACGAGCGAATTTACCTCGGCCACCAATTTGCGTGTTATAATCCACCTGGAGAAGAGCTTTTGAATAGCATTTGTAAGGCAGTCCAGGAAGTCTAACCCACACAACAATTTGTGATGGATATTTTTCCGACGTAGAAAACTTACTACTCCAAGGTTGGACAGTAAGATAATTCTCGTAAATTGTCCAAGGACCACCGGTAAGCGCGTTCACATAATCCTGCTCATTAAAGAAATGAACCAAAGAAATACTGGTTATCCAGGTCGATTAATCGAAACTCACCCACAGGTTTCCAAAGCATCAGCAATATGGCCAATAAAGTTTTGAAACCTATATTCCGAGAAAAGAACCAGACTTGTCAACAACACAATCCTCCTCTAAAAGAGTAACCTGATCCACCCCCAATGTAACAGTTTCCTGCTGATTCGTTCCCATCGGTCCCTTAACCATATTGGCATACGAGATTTTGCTTGAACCCTTCTCAAGTGATCGTTCACCCGGTTGTAGAATTGCAGCACCGTTATCGATAGCAACCTCTTGCGAATCTGACGAATTGATATAATCCCCCAGCGTTGCTGACATCCATAGCCTCCCACAAAGGGTTCTCAACAAAAGTTCCATTGATGCTTTTACTTTTCTTCTCATCATGGTTATCAACAAGAGGCGATCCCTGTCTTTCATGACTCGGCGGGACAGTAAGGCGCGGAACAGGATCCGGTGGCCGACTGATAGCACCAACAGCCAAGTCAACGCCTGTACGAGAACTAAGGTTTTCTGCCATTCAGAGAACTAGGGTTTTCCATGATTCGTATCGATGAGCACTAATTAATTTAGATTAATTCAGAGAACTAAATTATTATTTTGACCCATACTCTTTTCATTTCAAATATTTTAATCTCAACATTTTATTTTAACAGTTAACTAAATAATCACTTTAACCCTTATTATATTTTGGGTAAAGTATAGTAATGGTCACTGAATATTTCTGAAGCTTGCATTTAGGTCCCCCAACATTTAAAACTTGCAATACAATCCCCCAACATTTATTCCGTTTGCAATATGGTCCCCAACTTAAACCACAGTTAGAAAATTAGGATAAATTATATAAATGGTCATTAAACTTTTCAGTCACTTGAATTTAGGTCCCCTAACTTTTAAAACTTGCAAAACAGTCATCAATTTCATTCTAAACCCCAATTTCCAAAGTAATTCAATTTTATTCTAAACCCTAAATTCCAAAATACTTAAATTAAATTCAATTATGTCAAATTTATTATTATTTAATTTTATCATATTTCATGTGATACATATTTTTTATATAAATATAATAGTATAATTCTTATCTGTTGAAGAAATTTTTTAATTAAAAAAAGTAGTTAGGATATAGAAGATGTTGAAAATAATTCGAATTTTAAATTTATAAAATGTTATTTTGACGTATAAATAAAAGTGTAAACTACTCGGTTGACAACTTAACTATCTAGCCCTTTTTACTTTTGTCATCGATCTTTTAAATTTAACAATCATACCACATAATTATTTAACTGTTTCAACTAAGCCACTAGTCGTTACCAATTGATAAAAATGATGATGTGGCAGTTAAAAGGAATTGGCATTATTATACATTCAGTCTTTATTATTTATATAATCAATTTGGTCCTAAATTAAATAAAATTTAATAAATTAATCATTTAATTAGGATCTGACATGTGTTAGCACATGATCATGACACGTGTCATTGGTGACACGTGTTACCACCTAATTATTTATATATGCTATCAATTTGGTCCTAAATTAAATAAAATTTAATAAATTAATCATTTAATCAGGATCTGACATGTGTTAACACATGATCATGATATGTGTTATTGGTGACACATGTCACCTCCTAATTAGAAGAGAATTAAGTTACAAAGAAGTAAAATTTGGGTATTGGGCAAACTCAAACCTGAGTCACGCAAATGAAAGATACAGGGTGGAGTCACTAAGCTAACACCATCGTTTGTGTTAAGAGATATACAATAATACATATACTAATAGTATGACCAATGCCAGAAAAAAAAGAATATAATGTAAAATGGAAATAATGAGATTTGAACTTCGGCAAAAAATTTGAAAGCAATAAATGATGGGAAAATATTATATTTTTTACAATAAAAAATATTATATTTGATAAATTGTTTGATAGATTTAATATATTTTTTAAATATTAGTTGATACAATATTTTAAAAGAATAAATTTAAGATTTATATATTTTTAAACTAAAATTAATAATTATATTTTTCATATTTATAATTCATGATTATATATAATCTTAAGTTGAGTATTTCTAATATAATTAATAATTTTAATTTCTTATTAAAAATAAAATATTCAAAAAATATAAATGATTCATACATTAATATAAGAATATATTTTTTATTTATACATCTAAATATAAATATACATTTATATAAATATATTTTTATTCGTTGTGTCTGTGCCTTGAACTCTTTCTTCAAGCCTATATTACCTTAAATTGAAGTATTTTAGAATTTAATTGAAGTATTTTAGAATTTATGGTTTAGAATAAAATTGAATTACTTTGGAAATTGGGGTTTAGAATGAAATTGATGATTGTTTTGCAAGTTTTAAAAGTTGGGGGACCTAAATTCAAGTGACTGAAAAGTTCAATGACCGTTTATATAATTTATCCTAATTTTCTAACTGTGTTTTAAGTTGGGAGACCATATTGCAAACGGAATAAATGTTGGAGGACTGTATTGCAAGTTTTAAATGTTGGGGGACCTAAATGCAAGCTTCAGAAATGTTCAGTTACCATTACTATACTTTACCCTTATATTTTTTAAAAACATTTTAGCGAACAACATTTGATTTTCTGATAAAACCCCCAATTCTTAGAGCAGCGGGAGTATATTAACTAAATTTCCATCCATGAATGATTTTTTTTACCCAAAATGAAACATTTGAGAGATCAAAATGCTCTTAAAAAAAACAAACCAAAATGACTATTTAGTAAAATATTAGAGTATATTTTTGTCATTATGCCATAACCTAAAATGACCCAAACCAAAAAAAAATCCAATTATTTTTAAACTCGAATTAACCAACCCCAATTTGACACAGCCCATAACTTACCCAAAAATGGCATTAAATCCAAATTCCATTTCTATTCTTACCCGACTCTTGTTGCGCAAACGAATAAAATTGATTTTAAAAAGCAACGGGCAATGGAGCAACCAAATGCTTGAATTTGAGAACATAAAATAAATCCACTTCAAAAGTTCTTTTTCTTTTTCTGATCAGGGGTAATTAAAATATCCAACTGAAGAGTAGAAGTGTTTTGCACCATACCAAAAATAAGGATTCACAGTTTTAATCACCTTAACAAACACAAGCCTCTCCCCCAACTCATGTTGCAAGGGATGGATTGGGGGAGAGTTTATCGCAAAGCATTTCTCATAGGCGATTGATGACAGCTTCCACCTCTGAAGGGGTGTATAGATGGAACGTCGGTGCTACCTTGGCAATATCGACATTGTTGGGAGTCACCTGTAACACTACATTGTTCAGTAACCGAGAATTTGTCGGTAAAAATAAACAAATACATACAGTCAACTTCGAAGTTGTAAGGATTCAATGTAAAAGTTCACCTTTTCTTTCATTACATGCTTTAAAATGGACAGAGCAATTGTTTCGGCTTCTTGAAGTGTTAGGTCCTACATGGGAAGAAAAAGATCCATTATTACGTTAATCAGCATCGAAAAGCACTTGCAGATATGAGTGTCAAAACAAAGGAGCTTATTATTTTGACATGGTATGTTAATCTTGGTTATTTAGACATTGCTGACAATAAAAAGCAATATATATATGACAGAAGTAGAGATACCTGGTTGAACTGCTCTTGCAAAGTGCTGTCCGCACCTTCAGAGCCAGAGCCTATAGCTTTTGAATTACATTGCCAAAATGTGCCAGATGGATCAGTATAGTATCTGCAAAACAGAAGTTGAAAGTTAACTGAGAATGAATTGGACTCAAAGTAGACTTGGCGAATGCAGTCCGATATGTGACAATGCAACCTTGGATTAATAGGTTTGAGCATGGAAACCGTATCGCGTGCACGATGCATTACCTCTCTACACTTGTTAATTGTTACAGTTCTAACTTAAATTTTTATAATCTTAAATTAGTAAGGAGTAATAATCATGCACGTTACATATTTGGAATCCAGCTTCACAGAACATGGGAACTGTTTCAATTCTAGATGCAACAATTTAAATAGATTGCATTCTTCATGGAAGTTCCATGTCTAAGTTTTAGCCAATCACGATAGAGATAATATTATTTATCCAGTGACATGACTTACAGAAAATGTTAACCCTGAAAGTTCAAGTGACACAATTCCATTTAGATTTTCCCATTGTTGAAATAGAGTTTTTGTTCCACAAGAAAGCCAATGCAAGTACAAAATTGTTTGATACTTTACTTACAAGCTAGACCCATTCTCATCATGACCAGCAATGAGAAGAGATACACCAAATGGTCGGGACTGCACGGGAAAACAATACCATATGTGTATAAGCACTTAAGTAATACCATAGGCAGCATTCTATATCAAATGGCAAAAGAAACACAAATTTCATTCACATCCCACAAGTGAAACCAACACCATGATTACCAAAAACCAGAAAAGTTGAAAATGAAATTCTCTCCAGGTTGGGTATCTATATATAGTGTTGGAACTACAAATTTATGGAGGAGAAGGAAAGGTAAACAATATATCAGAAAACTAGGCATTTGAGGCAGTAATGGACAAAGAAAAATTCGAAACAAGTCGATATTTTAGCATATCTATTATTTTGAACTGATACATACAAAATACAATTACAAAATGGAAGAAAGAAAGGAAGTCTTTCATGAAAATTGGAAGCTTTCTAATCAATGAGAAAGGTACTACTAAAGTGAGGGTAAATAGATATAGGAATACATGAAAGGCGATAGAGAATGAGTATTTATAGGAAGAGAAAATTATTTTTTTATATTTTTAAATATATTCAATTTTAATATATTATTAAATATAAGGTACTTAATTATTATATTTTCAACTCCAGTATATTATAATAATAAAATATAAAATGCATTTTTCATTCTAATATTTTTAATACATTTAATATAATTTTATGATATTAAGAAAATTAATTGATTTTTTAAATAAAAATATTTAGTTACACAAGGAACAAATAGTATTGTTTTAGATTTTCTTTGCTTATTCCTTAACATAGTTTTGACAAACCAAACCAAAGTAAAAGTATTCCTCATCATTCCATTTAATCAACCAAACTAAGTAATGTATATTCCCACTATATTCTTTTACCACCACATAGCAATTTCAATTGGCGGAATTCTGTTCCAGTTAAACAAACATTATGCTTATGCATAATTATACAAGTTATACAAAGTTTACCCTCTTTATTACTTATCAAGATGAGTAAAAAGCGTCACAAATAAAGAAATTAAAATAGCTACAACTATACAGAAAACATAAGCAGGTGTACCATCGATTCTTCATCTCCTTCACCAAATCGAAGAGCAAGATCACAAAGAGCTTGTGTTGTGGACTCAACTGTCATTGGCTCACCATACGAGAATCTGTGGTTCTGCATGAATGTAGCAGATATCAACATAAACATTACATATGAATTCATATCAAAGTGTAACAATGCTAATACGTACAGTACCTGAGTCTCAACTCGTGCATGTTCAACAAGGGTGCGTGCGTCAGCAATCAACCCACTCATAGCACATCCTATATGCTCATAAATTTCCATAATTTTCTCAACACTACTGGGTTCCTGACAGAGGATCAAGTACCAGTTAGGCCTGCAAACAGTGCAACCAACCATCTACTTTCCACACAATCTAATACCTGTGACACATTCTATGTGCTGGATTTGTGGTACCTTGAAAGGTGAAGGAACTTTATGGGTACAGACGAATAAATAAGAAAAAACAACAGAAGCTAGTGGAATAGAATACTGGACAGGTCTTAGACATCAAATTACATGAAGCTGTTAGCAGATTATTGGAACCAATATTCGTGGGAATACAGGAGGAAATGAGGAATAAGCAACCGAGAACTCCGTTCCCTATCCTCTGATATTCAGCTCCAGAGTAATGAAGATTAGCCAACATTTACATGTATTTAATTGAAGAGTGTTAAAAGAGACTCCAATAAGACCCTAGCGAACTATAACTCCGTTCTCACAGTTAAGCAAACAAGACAATATAAAGCAAAGAAGAAAGCCTTTTTTCCCTCAATTGCAAACAAGTACATCAGGGATTTAAATTGCGGGTGTGATCACGTTATCGGTTGCGTTGCATTTATCATGATTGCAGACATAGCGGGAGCTATTGTGGTGATTGCATTCATGCAATAACGATTTCGGACGGCACACTATATAGCATTCGCTAAGACCATTATTTAAATCCCCACATAACAGAAATAATTAACAGACAAAATAACATTTAATCAAGCAAGAGTACAGTGCATACCAACAGTGGCGAAGTAATACGCTTCTCGACAGCGAACACAACACCTTCTTTTGTCTTCAACCCAATTGCAGTTGAACCCAGCTGCACTCCAATTCCCAAAAAAAAGAGAGGGGAGAGAAACCCATTTACATTAAAACACGCCCAGAAAATTAAATACGCTAATACTTGAGAAAACTCTAGGAGCGGGGTGATCTTCCAAGGAAACAAACAGAAAATGTTTTTACCTTGATGGCTTCGATAGCGTATTCCACCTGGAACAATCTTCCTTCCGGAGAGAATGTATTCACTCCACGGTCATACTCAGTCCTTCACAGGCCAATCACTAAACAGTTAAGAAAGAGGGGAAAAAAAGAAATAATTAAAGTTTAGCAATGGATACGCTTTGATTTGGTACCTGGTGAGAAGCATGTTTTGGATCGATACGATTCAAAGATCTATCAAAACCCCACAATAATTAGTTTATTTCTATAAATAAATTTAACTCGGAAAGAGGAGAGAGGAGAATTGGGGGAGAGGGTTTACTTGAGAGAGAGGGGTTGCGCAAAGCGAGCAAAGCCCTTTAGTTCTCTCGTCTCTTTGGTCATTGCAAAGCAAAACAAGGCTATTAAAACGTCACCGGATCAAGCCGTATAGCATAATGAATGTCGACGCTTTATTGGGCTGGGCTGATAGTGATTTCTTATGGCAAAAAAAAAAAGAAGAAAAAATGAGGTCCCATAGCCCATCTCAATGCCCTTACGTGGTGGTGACAACGAATATAAATAAAAGGTAAAAAAGTATATCAGGCCCTTATACTTTTACAAAGAATTAATATGGCCCTTGAATTATTTTTGCATTCAATTTGTCTTTCAAACTTAGAAAAAAAATTGATTATGATCCTTTGTCCAACAGTTTCTGTCGTTAACCACTATTTTACGGTATTGATATGATAGTCCAAGTGATTGATGATGTGACATTTACGACATAAAATATGCATCACATAAAGGGTTCATTCATGATAATGATGTATATATTTTCAAAATAATAAGGAAAGCAAGTATGCATGCATGGATGCACCATATCATTTGATACATGCATACATGCTATTCATAAGATGCAACCGAAGGTGATGTCGATGCATTTCGGTTTCTTGTTATTTTTCGATCGCGTTTGGGAGTTGCAGACCAGATTGAAAAAGGTGAGTGCTAGGAACACAGAAATAATGAAAGAACTGGGAATTTTTTTTAATTCATTGTGGTACATGAAAAAAGATCAGTGGCAAAAAATACACTACATGATAAATGCTTAATCAAAGAATATTTTGTACAAAAATGTCCTCCTTGAATGAAGAAATGGACCTTTGACAGATTCCCATGGCTTCAAAAGAATAGAAAAATTCGAAAGAATCATATGAAGAAGGAGAAAAATAGAACGAAATTTTGAACGTTCGATGACAGACTCACAGAATCACTTAGCTGAGGTACCAGGTTGGCCCTTCTCTTGACCTGTATCCGACTCGGATTTGCTTGGAACGGTGGGAGGCGACCACTGATCCGGGATCATTAGAAAATAAGTCGACATCGCTTTCCTGAACCTTTTCTTGTATTGTTCGGGCGAGATCACGGTTGGCGATGCATTCTTCGGCCCGCCAAGGATGCCTGAAGCCTTCACCCAAGTTTCAAGATGCTTGTCCCAGGTATACTGCCTCAAGAAATCGATGATTCCGATAACTAACTCGTGCTTCTCTTCGTCCACGCCAAGCAGTAATGAGTAATCCATGAGGTCGTTGGACTGCAGATGAAGAAATGAGCACTTTAGTTACATGAATTCAGGAATTCGTGTCGTGTGAACACGTCTCCATGCATGTTAACTCGAAGCGACAAGTTACAACTTACAGCGAGGAAGGCAGTGTCATTCCAGACTGCTCTTTCCAATACACGCTTCGCTTTATTCCCCACGAAAATAGGGTTAGTGGGCATTGATTCGATCAAGTTCTGATCTAGCAGAACCTTGTTGCTTCCACTAGAATCAGGATTATAACGAGATCTTGAAGATCCCTTGAGATCGTATAGCCGCGTCACATTTCTCCTAAACAGAAGATTCTCCATAACCAAAACATCCATCCTTGATTCTTTCCCACCTTTTGGCGGCTTTCTCGTAACCTTCCAAGATCAACGATATGAAATTATTACATGAAACACAAGCAACTTGTCATCTATGTAAATAAACGAACACTCTTAGTACTGTCTAAAACCCCCTTCATTTTCATTCAAAGGTACAATCAGATAATATCAAACACCTGGAACAATTTTATAAACATGCAAACTTCATTAAGGAGGCTTATAGTTTTATTTTGTTGGCAAAAGTGTATCTGAGGCCCTTGTATTTTTTCAAGAAAATCAATGTGGTTGACCGTTGATGTGGTAAATGGACTAAATTGATTTTTTTATTAAGTTCAAGGGTTAAATTGATTTTTAAAAAAGTTTAGGGGCTTATTTGATTTTAAAAAAATAATATTTAAAATTAAAAATATACAAATATATAAAAAGATAAATAAAAAATACTAAAAATTAAATTACTAAAAATTAAAAAACTATATATTAACTGGAATGATTGAATTTAGAGACGAATTCTAATATAAGTTTTATTTTATATTTATTTTGTACAAACAAATTTGTTATTCCTTAAAAATATAAAAAATAAATATTATGGGTGATAAAAAAACTCAAACGCTTTTCTTATTGTTTTTTTAAAATCAAGTTTTGGTGAATTTTACTTTCCTCTATCATATTATATTCACTAAAATGCTTTTTTAATTGTATAACTATTTTCTTATTATTTTTACACTCAAAATAATCATAACAGTTAATGACGAAACCATTGGTTAAAGGACCATTTTAAGTGTAAAAATAATTCGAGAGCCGTAGCGGTTATTTTAGAAAAGTACAAGGTACCCTTTTGCCTACTTTGTTTATGCAAAACAGCCTTATTTCTAAGCATTTAGTTAAGGAAAACGCACCTGATAAACACCGAGAATCTTTGCGAGGCACGTCGGACTTCTCGATCTAATTGCTTCAGACAAGTAATTGAAATATTTAGGAGCAAGTTTGATGAATGATTCCAACTCAGTCTTGGTGACTTGTTTAATGATAAACCGGTCATCCAAGGTCTTGGCAAAGTAGACGTTGCTTTTTCCGCCCTGAGCTCCCCACTTCTTACAGCGACTGAGCGACCTTATGAAGTCTAGCTCCGAGGGGCAACATACTCTCCTTAATGTCTCGAACCACTTGGCATAGTAACAAGTAACCGAATATTTCACTTTATCTGATCCGTCATCTCCGAATGACACCCGTACATGCAAAGACTTCATACTAGACGGTGGAGGGTCCATAATCAGGGAGCTTCGGTTTTCTGCTGAGCCAAAACTTCTCTGAGGATCATTGTCAACAGAATGAGACAACTGAAAATTTAGTGAATCAGACAAGGATGATGAGGTCATTGAATCCCCTCCATCATCACTTATCTGAAAATTGTATTCAGGCGATACTAGAGCATACGATATGGTACTCGTGAGCTCGTCATCATAAACTGGAATAACAGTGTCATTAACACCCACCGGCAGAAGCAGCCTAGCCCCACTTTGCAGTTCCAACTCTCTAAACGATGAAATATTGAACCGATCATACACGTTTAACGTATCAAGCTTCGAAGAACTTCCTAGAAAGTTTTTGTTCGAAGATGAACGATAGAAACTCAAGAAAGGCATTTTTAACCAGCTAACGAATTCTTCCATATTTTCAGAACCTATACTGAACAATGTAGGGGAAGGAGAACAAGTAACCTTTGGCACACTATTTTCTTCAGAACGGTCTTCCAAATCTACAGCAGCAATATCAGGAAGTGAAAATGAATTTTTCTTGGATAATACAGGTCCTCGCTGAATTTCTCCGGTCCAAGCAGCATCGAGGGTGTCTGATAAATTTTCTATGACAGGAAACTGGCCCTCAGACATGGCCCTGCGAACATTTGCCTTCGGTTTCTCATTGTCATACTGGTCAAACATGCTTTGGCTAGCAGAAATATTGCCATAGTCTTTGTTCCCACAATTTGAACCTTCGTTCATGTCTGGTTCTTGATGGACTGCATCCGACTGATTAGCATTGAGCTTTGAATCCACCACAGTAGACTCACTAGATTCAGATCCTTTTCCACGTTCAGACATATCCATGTCCTTGACCTTTTCGATATCAATAACCGGTTTGTCCTCATGTCCTGAAATAGAATTGCTGAAACAGTTCCGGGGGCTGTAGTTTTCTAATTTGGCTGCAAAAACCAGGCGTTGATCCCACATATAAGATTGGAAAAGTAATTGCCGACGCAACCGATTTATTTCGAGGATGTCTACAACAGGTTGCCCTTTTTTCACTTCCCTTTCCGAAGCCTTTTGCAATGATTCCTAAACCAAAGGGAAACAGACAAACTCCAACCATTTAGGCTTAGACACAATAAGATCCATCTCAACTATGTGAAAAAGTACAGCACGTAAAGTCTTACATCAAACTCCAGCTTCTCGTTATGTAGTATTCCTTCTAGTTCAGCAATTTGATCTCTCAAATCAGACGTTTTCGTGTCACTATCAGGTGGCCCTGAGCTGGTTTGTTTTTCAGCTATTTGATTCAGCGACTTTTGTACTTTAGAAAACAGAAGCTCTGCCTGGTTAGCCACCTGTTTATAACCAAAAAGATAAACATAGATTATGCAAATCGGATCCTTCATAAAACCGAAACGATTATTGTTGCACCTTGTCTGTTTCGTGCTGTATCCATTTCTGACTCTCATAGTAAAACTCGAGTTTTGGGGGCGGGAGGCAGACGGAATGAACATCGATTGTTGCATACCGAAAGCAAGCCACCATTCTCCCAAATCTACATCGAGAGAGAGAAGAGTGAAGATGTGATGTCTGAAGATCTTTTCACCTAACAATTCCTGGTATTTCACCAGCCAGATCATGGTATGCATCATATATCAAATAGTTATCAAGTAGAACATTCAAAAAGTCTCTAAGATCACAGAAAGATATGCTATGATTAATATCTTCCGACCGAGGAGTTTAATGACACATTGTGGCGAACTATAATTATAAGGAAAGAAAATTACCCGTAGAAACGAAGACAATCTCTATGTAATGAATGGCCACAGCTTGCAACCCTGCTCGCAGCTGCATGGTTCGAAAAGCTAAGCTCCAAAAACTTGCCAAATGATAAACCCCATGCTGCATCAGACATGACTCTTCTGAAAGTTGCCGGAGGAAAACCGTTGGTCCTAGGACATTGCAAGCATCTATGCCACATCCAGATCTTGCCCTCTTTTTCACCAGGCAAGAAAACTTCAGGGAGTTTCTTAACAGACATGGTTAGTGTTCCTTGTCGATGAGTATAACAGTGAACGTGTGCTTCTGAAGGCAAGTCACAAGAAAGGCATCGGTAACTCTGGAAAATCAGCAGTCTCCTTAGTTTCGAGGTGATCTCTACATCTGAACAGAGAAATATAT